CTACGTGGTGGCACCCATGGGTAATCCCAGCTACTTGGAAGGCTGAGGCAGGAGGATCGCTTGAACCTGGGAGGCAGAGGTTGCAGTGAGCTAAGATCACACCACTGCATTCCAGCCTGGGTGACAGAGACTCCATCTCAAAAAAAAAAGAAAAAAAAAAATCCAACAACCAGACCCCAGCCTTAAAGATGGTGATTCAATTGGTCTGGCATGAGACTTGGGAGCTGGATTTTTTTTTTTAATCCCTGGGAGATTCTCAGGTACAGCCAGAGCACAGACACCCAGCAACACCCAGTAACAGCCAGACACAGTGACTCATGCCTGTAATCCCAGCACTTCGGGAGGCCAAGGAGGGAGGATCACTTGAGCCCAAGAGTCTGACATTAGCTTGGGCAGCAAGGGGAGACCCTGTCTCTACAAAAAATACAAAAACTAGCCAGGCGTGGTAATACATGCCCGTAGTCCCAGCTACTGAGGGGAACTGAGGTGGAAGGATTGCTTGAGCCCGAGAGGTGAAGGCTGCAGTGAGCCTAGACCGCACTACTGCATTCCAGCCCGAGGGGACAAAGGCTCTATCTCAAACAAAACAAAACGAAAACCACCCAGCAAGTTGTTGATGGAACACAAGACTGACACTGCTCCTGAGAGCCATGCCCCTGAGGTTTCCGACGCAGGGATCATGAACCTGGAAACCTGGGCTTTCTCTATATTCACCCCCATACTTCTTGGGTCCTGACCTCCAGGGAAGCGGGTCAGGCTGGCAGGTGGGCAGGGAACCCCGTGGGTAAGAGGCAGGGTCCCTTCTGATCCTACCCACTATGATCACCCAGCCCCAGGTGATCCAGGTCCAGAGGCCCTGGAGCTCCAAATGGGGCACCAAAGCCCAGCCGTGGGTGGGAAGAGGCACTTTGACAAATGTTGAAAGCTCAGCTCCAAGACCCAGTTCACCTGCACTCCCCCAGTCTACTCTCTGTGGGTCTGGGGCCACCCCTCTGGGTACTCAAAAGAGATCTTCAACAGGTGCAGTGACTCACACCTGTAATCCTAGCACTTTGGGAGGCCGAGGTGGGCAGATCACCTGAGGTAAGGAGTTCGAGACCAGCCTGACTGACATGGAGAAGCCCCATCTCTACTAAAAATACAAAATCAGCCAAGCGTGGTGGCACATGCCTGTAATCTCAGCTACACAGGAGGCTGAGGCAGGAGACTCACTTGAACCTGAGAGGCAGAGGTTGTGGTGAGCTGAGATCATGCCATTGCACTCCAGCCTGGGTAACAAGAGTGAAACTTCGTCTCAAAAAAAANAAAAAAAAAAAAAAAAAAGATTTTCAAGAGATGACATGAGATCCTGACGGGTCCATCCTGTGTACCCAAGGCCAGTTCTTCCTAGCCACTGGCCTGAAGCCACATTATATCCTCCACTTTTTGTTGGCCCTAATCAGCTACTCCAGCCCTGGCCTCTGCTGCTCCCCCTGGGGTGAGGGATAAGGCAGTGGCATTGGCCTGCTTTCCCTTGCTGGCCGGCAGTCTACTCCCCGAACCCCTGAGTCTATTCCCTGAACCCCTCCAGTCCTTCCGACCCATAGTTAATGTGCAGTCTTCACCAGGACCTCTAATTCTCCAGGAGGCTGTAATTGGCCTCCTCCACTTTGCACTGAAGAGCTCTGGCTCTGAAGGCTGCCCTGTCCTCCTCCCCAACCAATGCCCCCTTCTCATCTCCCAGGTGACCTGGCCCATCTGCCCACCAAGGCCACCCCTGCCTTCAACAAATGCATTTTATCCAGCCCTTACTGGGTACCTCCTGGGACCCACACACTGGGCACTGGGTTAGCCCAGGAATTCAGTCAAATCAGCCTCCGGGTTCACAGACATGGGCACCAACATCCTTGGGAAAGGCAGAGGGGACCAGAGTTGAGAAAGGAGGCACCAGTCCCCTGGGGATCTTAATAAAATGCAGATTTTCATTCAGTAGGACTGGGCACCGGGGTCTGATATTCTGCATTTCTGACAAGCTTCCTGGTGACCCTGAAGTTGCTGGACTAATTATTTACAGCACTTACAAATCATTCCTTCTTTGACTCTTAAGTTCCAAGGAAGCAGGAAGCACAGCTCCTTTAATCACCGCCAAGTCCCCAGCACCCAGTACAGTGCCTGTGGACCTGCTAAATGTATGAATGGTGTTAATCCTGGCAAGGTGCCCAGCATTAGATGGGCCTACAGGGAAGCCTCCAATGTGAGGGACACCAGAGAGTGGTTTGTCCAAAGCAGTTCAAAAGCACAGAGAACAAAGGGTTAATTCTGCCCTGCAGGTAGGGGAAGCTGGATCTCTCAAAAGAGGCCACTCTGCACTAGGCCTTAGAGGGTGGGACAGATTTGCCCAGGTGGAGACTGGCTAAAGGGCAGGAACGACACAAGAGCAAAGGTAAAGAGACTGAGAACACGGGACAGGCTGCAGTCATGCGGTGCACCCGGAGCTCCAGGTATGTGGGGAAAAAGCCCCAGAAAATTATGAAGCAGTGGGCCGGGCGCGGTGGCTCATGCCCGTAATCCCAGTACTTTGGGAGGCTGAGGCAGGCAGATCACAAGATCAAGAGATCTAGGCCATCCTGGCCAACATCGTGAAACCCTGTCTCTGCTAAAAATACAAAAGTTACCTGGGCCTGGTGGTGCATGCCTGTAGTCCCAGCTACTCGGGAGGATGAAGCAGGAGAATCGCTTGAACCCAGGAGGCGGAGGTTACAGTGAGCTGAGATCATGCCACTGCACTCCAACCTGGTGATAGAGCGAGACTCCATTTCAAAAAAAAAAAAAAGAAAATTATGATGCAGACCTGCACAGGCCGGTGCTAGAAAGCCATGCTAGGAGGATGGATGCCTGCTGGTGGAAAATCATGAGATGTTGGCGGTGTTTGCAGAGGGAGGGAGCACCCTGTCATAGAAGAGCGCTCTAGAGGTCGCCAGGACCTGCCCCAAGATCAAGGTGGGTGGAGGAAGCAGTTCCTGGGGTGGGAAGGGCCGAGGTGGAAGGAAGTTATAGAGGCAACAGAGGGAATCCTTGGGAGGGAGTGAGGCCTGCACGAGAGCAGGGGAAGCAGCAGTAAGATGTTTTCCCTGATGTTGTTAAATCTCACAGGTGCTAGGTAGGGCGCGGTGTTCCACGCCTGTAATCCCAGCACTTTGGAAAGCTGAGGCAGGCGGATTGCTTGAGCTCAGGAGCTGGAAACCAGCCTGGGCAACATGGTGAAACCCTATCTCTACAAAACAATACAAAAATTAGCCAGGTGTGCCTGTAGTCCCAGCTAGTTCTGGGAGCGCTTAGGCAGGATTGCTTGAACCCTGGAGGTCGAGGCTGCAGTAAGCCGAGATCGCATCACTGCACTCTAGCCTGGAAGACAAAGTGAGACCCTGTCTAAAAAAAAAACCTTACAGGTGCTTAAAAACCACAGTGTGTTCAGCCCCGGGCCAGGCACTAAGCAACAGAGGTGGTCATTTCCCAAAAGTCCTTGGTGCTCTTCACTAGGAGGGGACTTCCCCAATAGTTCCCTACATCCCTCCCAACCCCCACACCCTCTGCTCCTTCCCTCAGCTTTATCAGAAGTGTTTACTCAGTACCTACTATGTGCAGGCCCTGGCCTCAGGGCAGCCAGAGACTAGTCACTGCTCTCTGGAGAAGGCCTGCACAGATGCTGTCCCAGATGTTGCTCCACCCCCATCCTTTAGGGAGCTGGGAACAAGTCAGATCTAGTGGAAGGGGGGACAAGTAGCCAGGGATTCCATGTGTGAAAGAGAGGTCACCAGGAGGGACGTGGATGGTTCTACGAGAAGGGGACCAGGGCATGCTGGAATGCTGGGTGAGAACTCCCTGCTGACAGAGTCAGCCCTCCAATCCCACAATCCATTCCCTTTCCAGCAAGACCAAAGCTAAACTCCCAGAAATGCTGGGGAAGACCGGTGACCCCCACCTCCTACGCTTGGGGTGAGTTGGGCCCTGTCCTGAGCTGAGGGTGCCAGGTTGTCCTCCAAGTCCCCTGGAGGCACCACCAGGCTGGCTGGTCCCACTGAGTGGGTCAGCAGAGGAAGGAGGTGTCCCCTAGAGGGAAGCTATGTGTGGTTGGGAGGATGAGACAATTTAACCTAGGCTCCCAGACTGAAAACAGGACAAAGGCAGCAGGCCCTGCTCTGGGCCTTGGCTGGAGAAACCACACCACACTCCCAATCACCCAGCTGCTCCTCTGAAGACAAACCCATCTTTTCTGCCTAATTTCTCTCTTGCCCCATCCCTGCTACAGGCCTGGCCCTCTCCAGGGACATGAATTGATTCCCTGTTTATCCAGTCCAGACCCTGGGAGGTGGTGGCCAGAATTAATTAATGTTTGTGAAGTGCTGGAGAGAAGCTAGAACCAGGGACCCAAGGGCGCCAGATGACCGGCGCAGGAAATTGAACGGGAGAGGCGGGGAGAAGGGGCAGCTGGCCAGGACCTGGAAGCCTGGAAGGAGAGGGCTAAGACACTCCTGCTGAAGCTGGGAAGAACAGGGAGAGAGCTGTGAGGAGAAGGTGCGACCCCTCAAAGGCACCAAGGAGGATTTCGGGCTCCAAGCAGAGCCTGCCTACCTCCCACAGCTCCGCCCTGGCCTCAGAGCTGGGCACGTCCAGGCCCGGCTGCCCTTCTCCAACTCAGTCTCCAGCCACCCACCTGCCCCGTGGACCACCTGCAAAGGAAGTCTTGGCCCCTCTGCCCCCTCCAAAGGCTTGCGCAGGAGGGTAGAGGCTGCGCCGACGGGGGCGCCTCCTGCCAACTCCAGTAGGGCACCCGAGTCCTACCTGAGCAAACACTTCACTTCCTTTCTCTAAAAGAAGGAGGCGAGGCGTTCCCCGCTCCTTGAGGCTGGGGGGACTTCCAGGCCCTCTTTCGGAGGGCGGTGGCAGGACGCATGTAGCTGGCACCAAGGCCCACGGCGCCCCCTCTTTGCCCGCGCCCCTCTCGAGCTAGGCTTACTCACCCCAAAGTGCTGATGAAGCCATTGACGGAGCCCTCGGCGTACAGGGAGACGATGTCCCCGATGTGGAGAAAGCTGGACATTTCACTCATGGCTGCGGCCCTCGGGAGCCCGGGACGTGGGGGGCGCCCAGGGGCGCGTGGCCAAGCTTAGTGCGGAGGACTGAGGCGTCCGGGGGGCGGGGAGGGGCGCGTCCCCACCTCGGAGCCCGACGCTTGGGGCGGCCGGGGCAGGCTGGTGGCCACGGGAGCCAGGAGGCGGCGCGGCGCGGCCCGGGGTCCGGGTGAGGAGGTGCCCAAGTCTGGGCGCGTCCGCCGCCCTCCTGCCCGCCCGGCCCGGCCCGCGCGTACCTGCAGCGTAGAAGGAGCAGGAAGTCTGGGGCCGCCAGATACATGCAAATCCTGCCTGGGAGGCGGGGAGGCCACACCCCGCCCCCCCTTCCCCGCCAACCGCCCGCCTGCCGGCACCCATGTGCACCGGCCCGCCTCCCGGCGCTCCGCGCTCCTAGCTGGTCCGGGTCTCGGCCTCCCGGACGCCAAATGCGCCGCCAGCCCTCCTGGTGCCCAAAGGCGTCCTGCACCGCACTGGGGAGTCCTGGGTCCAGAGGGCTCGCGGAACTGCCATACCTGGGAGGCCCAGGCGTAGCGGGGAGCTCTCTGCCCTTGGGGTTCCCGGAGTCCAACGCTCCAGCGGGCGCTACCCCGGAGCCGCGCGCGGAGGACGCGCCCTGGAGCGCCCTGGCGGAGGCCACCCTGCGGCCACCGCGCGGTCCCCGCGCCCAGCTGAGAGCAGGGTAGCGCCCAGAAGCGCGCTCATCCCTTTGCAGCGCCAAATCGGGATTCATTTTTCTCAACGTGAAAAAAGCCTTTTCATTGCACAATAGAAAGTGCTCGGACTTGGAGGGGAAATGAAGCAATGGGGTGGGTTTTGCTTTTTTTTTCCTCCGCATTCCTGTGTACAAAGAGATCCAACTTCCGAATCAGTTCAGCCGCTCCCTCTCCAGGAGTTGGCTCCAAAACTCTTGGCTCCTTCTGTCTTTCCTTTCAAAAAAAAAAAAAAAAAATACAGAAAGTTACCTTCGCTAGTTGATAGCGCACCCAAGCGCTAAGGATGCCAAGTCTGGGTGCCGGCCCTCTGGGAGTGACCCGCTGCGGCGGCGCCGCCAGGCTCTGGCTCCCAAAGTCCTGCCCTCAAATCCGCGTCCACAGCTCGCTTACTTTCTGTTCTGTTTCCCGGTGCTTGGGTGTTTGCTTTCTAGTCCTTTATTTGACCTTCTAGGATAGGGTGCCCATTGCCACCTCCATCCGATCACATTCGCTCCCTTCAAATCCCCCCACCCCCACTTCCTGAGTTGCGGGGGGGCGTTTGTCCCTGGAAGAAAGGGAGGAGGGGACTCAGTGACTGAAGCAGGAAGAAGAGAGGCTAGGGGAGGGGTGGAGACAGCTAAGAGCAAAGAGACAGCTGCTGACCCTGGGAGGAGAAGAGCCCCAGGCAGTGGCGGGGTGGGGGTGGTTCTCTTTTTTATTTTTCTTTCGAGGACCCCCAGGAACCTGGGAGGGAAGGACACTTCCAGGATCGCCAAGTCCCGTGTTTTACAGTTTTGTTTTGTTTTTCACCAGGGCAAACAGTAACAAGTTTCACAGCAGACCAGCCCACACCTTCATCTATATATAAGCAAAATAATAGTTTCACCAAACAATACTTATTCTTATGACCTTTGATGCCCGCTGATATTTTCTATTCTATTTGAGTTGTGTTGGTGTTGTTGCTTTAATGCTGATTGTAACCCACTGAATTGCTTTTTTTAAATGTTCCAAATGGGTTGCAAACTGCAGTTTGAAAAACTTCATCCAGTCCATTGTGCCAAAAAGAGATGACCAAAGCCCAGAGAAGGAGCACCACCCATCAAGAGCACACAGCAGGCTCCTGGCAACTGGAGGCAGAAGCTAACCAAGCCTCTGATTTTCAGCCCGGTGTTCTCCTACCACCCCACACCAACTGAGCCACAGCATGGATCACTGGAACCTCACTGAGAAGGGCCAGCCCCCGGGACAGTTTCACTTGCTCCCAGAAGTCATGCCACCTGTATCTTCCCCAAAACTTAGAAGGAAAAAATATGCATTTGTTCTGTAAGCATTTATCGAAGGCCTGTTATGTCAGGCCTCTGCTGGGCATCAGGCTTTGATCAAGCTGTCAGCCTGGGCCCAGTTACCTTTTCCCCTCTCCAGACCGTGAGGAGGAAGAGGGACAAGTTGAAAACTTATCTCCTCCCCTGACATCCATATAGATGGTTCCATAACTCAGATGAGGTGTGGTAGCCAGGAATGGAGGTCACTCCACTTCAGGCCTCTCTGAACTAAAGTACATGGCCTTGGTTCTCCCCACCCCTCCCCAGCCTAGGAGTACTTGGAACCTCTGTCTCTCCACCAACCAGGAGGTCTCAGAGGTGAGGGCTCTGGGCCCCCGTCACCTGCTTCTGCCAAATCAGCTCCACTGTAAGCTCTTTTATATGCTTGGTTCTGAGTTAGAATTTGCTTCAAGAAAAGTTCAGTCGGTTAAAAAACAACAACAAAAACCAGAGTTTAAGAAACAGATGGTGGCCGAGCGTGGTGGCTTTCCAGCTGGCCAACAGAGCAAGACNGTGGTGGCTTTCCAGCTGGCCAACAGAGCAAGACTTTGTCGCAAAAAAAAAAAAAAAAAAAAAAAAAAAAAAACATGGTGCAGGGCATGGTGGCTCATGCCTGTAACCCCAGCACTTTGTGAGGCTGAGGTGGGCAGCTCACCTGAGGTCAGGAGTTTGAGACTAGCCTGACCAACATGGAGAAACCCATCTCTACTAAAAATACAATTGCCGGGCGTGGTAGTGCATGCCTATAATCCCAGTTACTCGGGAGGTTGAGGCAGGAGAATCGCTTGAACCTGGGAGGTGGACGTTGCAGTGAGCTGAGATCTTACCATTGCATTCCAGCCTAGGCGACAGAGTGAGACTTCATCTCAAAAAAAAAAAGAAAAGGAAAAAAAAAGAAACAGATGGTACAGCTACAGTGAGTTCACTCCCCTGCTCCCTACTTGAAGCCTTCCTATGCCTCCTCACTGCCCACAGAACAGCCTACGACCCGAGCCCAGTACACCAGACCCTCAGGACTTGCTGTCCTCCCACTCTTGCAGACACCACCATTGCTCCTCAAGGAGGATCCATGCTATGGACTGACCAAGAAAGAACGCAGGCTCTGACTCTTACAGCCTGGTTAGACCTCCCCACCCTGCCACTTTCTAGAAGACATTCTCTCAGACTGTGTCCTCATCTGTTAAATGGGTAAAGTACCATACCAACATCTGAGAGAAGCGTGAGCCGTCAGCACAGCATCCCAGGCAGGAGTGAGACTATGTCCCTTCTCATTTCCCCAGGACCTCATCCACTCATACGCCCGCCCGTGCCTGGGCTCCTGTGGCTCCCTCTAGCACTTCCCCTTTTCAGTTTCCCAAGATCTGAATAAAGTCCTCTTCCCTAAGTTACTGCAGCACCAATCTTTTAAGTATTATTATGAAACATTTTAAGAAGTAATAGATAAAAATACAGTGAGTGCGCTGTACCTTTCCTCCAACTTTGCCAAATCTTAGTATTTTGCCAAATTTG